ATGGGAATACCAGTTTGCTGGATTTTTCACCAGAGAACATTGAAAATGGTATGGCCACGTCAAACAATGAAGCATTATTTGATTTCATAATGTCATTTCCTTCTTCTATTTCCCTTGCCACCATTGACTCAATCCTCAACAATGGGCGTTAAATGCTTGAACTTCAACAGTTGAATGGTATTTCAGTTTTTCAACATTATAAGGATGTTTTTAACAGTTTCAACTTCTTGTAGTTAGTAATAAAATTATTATTATTATTTTTGAACCGCCCACATTTACAGACATGAATTGCTTATGCCTCTCGGCTTCTTGGTAACAGTATAGATTAGAGCATAGTGACAATTAGATGTTCACAATTGAAGACAATAATGTCTATCAAGGCAGTAAATTGCTTATCTTTATAACCTTAAAGGCCATTATCCAATACTTAATTTACATTTTCTAACAAATTTTCATCTTAAAAGTGTCATGGCAAATACTAGAATATGGGGTTTACAATACATAACCTCCCAGTGCTCTTCACCTAGATATGAATAATTCATGGAGAAATATTGTCATGATGAAAGTTTCAGGAATTCTATGCTTTCAATTCAGGATTTTGGATTCGATCTCTTCCAAACTCAGTCCTTTAGTCTCTGGGACATATAATGCTACAAACAAGAGTTATGACAAAGCAATAGCACCAAAAAGAAGAAAAAGGTTGTCTGTGTTGGTTTTTTAAAACAAAGAAATGGAGAGAACCGAGAGGAAGATGAAAAACAGAGCATAAGCTAAAATGGAGAGAAGTATATGACTTCAACTCCTCTTTTCTCATTAACAAACTCTCCTATACATAGGAGAATACAAACATTTCAAAATTCAAATCTATTCTACATTAAAAAAACAATAAAGTACATTTGAAATTTAAACACATAACAGCTACTTTTGCTGCAACTTGCGTCCTTTGGCAGCTTTGCAGCCTCTTTGCAGCCTTTCATGTGCATTTGCATTTCATGTGCATTTCATTTGCTGCTACTTTTGCAGCTTGAACACCACAACTCCAACACTCCTCCTTGGTGTTAAAGCTGTAAAATCAGAACATTTATGCCTAAGCACCTGGGATCAGCCGCCCTTTGCTGTCCATCTTGTGCTTGGTTTTCATCATTTTTTTTTCAGCCATGTACCATCCTTCTCAAATAACCTCAGCTCCTCCTTTGTCACAGCTTTCCTTCTTTGGATTTTGCTGCCTCAAACAAATTTTGGAGGTTTTTGCAACTAAGTTGCATTTTCTGAGTAAATAAAACAAGGATTTTGGTACCTCAAAGTGCTGCTTCATCATCTTCCGCATCTTCTACAGCTTCCTTGGGCTAAAGATTTGGCTACTCGGTCATGAAAATGACTTGATGCAATGTTGAGTACTCTCTTGGTCCCAATCTGCATCTTCACAAGCCATCCTTGCCTTTTTGGACTAATGCTGTAGCATAAAACACTACCATACCAGCAGCCTAAAAAACGTCATCAAACCAGCATCTTTTGCTTTTCCTTCTTGCAGATCTTCTGCCTCAAACGATTGAAGGACGTCAAGTTAACCTTCAACTTCATAGCTTCACATACTCCCTTCTGCCTTAACCAATTGGTTGCATTCTTTTGTCAACCACTTTCAAAGATTGAAGGACCTAAAGTTAACCTTCATCATTACAGCATCTTTGCTGCATTTTTGGTCAGAGGAGTTTGTTGTGTTGGGTTAGAAAAAACATGGTATTTTGAAAGAAAAAACTTGCTGGCAGCCATTTGAGTTGGGTTGGGATTTGTGGTGGTCTATTTCCCTCAAATCTCTCTCACACAAGCCCTCAAATATCATGAAAGGCTCTGATACCATGTTGGTTTTTTTTAAAATAAAGAAATGGAGAGAACCGAGAAGAAGATGAAAAACAGAGCATAAGCTGAAATGGAGAGAAGTATATGACTTCAACTCCTCTTTTCTCATTAACAAACTCTCCTATACATAGGAGAATACAAACATTTCAAAATTCAAATCTATTCTACATTAAAAAAACAATAAAGTACATTTGAAATTTAAACACATAACAGCTACTTTTGCTGCAACTTGCGTCCTTTGGCAGCTCTGCAACCTCTTTGCAGCCTTTCATGTGCATTTGCATTTCATGTGCATTTCATTTGCTACTACTTTTGCAGCTTGAACACCACAACTCCAACAGTCTGCTCCTAGTAGCTCTTGCAGAATCAGAAGATATTGATCCAATTCATAGTGCAAGTGTACAAATAGTTAACAATGACAACCGAGATTAGTGGAAATTTTACAAATACCTTCAACGGTGAGAATACAAAGGTCACAATAGCATTTGAACCAAAGTTAGTCAGGACTGCCAGACTAATCCCTTTGCCTCTTGTTCGAAGTGGGAAAATCTCTGACACCATTAGCCAACTGATAGGGCCAAATGATATCTAAAAGGTTGTTTATAGGAGGAAGAATCAGTTAAATTACAACAAAGACTTTTGGTCAACGAAAACATTGGACAAGGATCCTAGGCCTCTTTCTTGATGCTGCAGTCTATATTTGCATTCTTGCTATTTACAAACTTATACTCTTTTCTATATTAGGAATCTCAGACATGAAAAATCAAAAATTCAAAATAATAGTTCTACAAGTGTTCCAATTCGAAACAAGCCGTGGATGAAAAATAGTAGAGCTGTCAACAGAAAAGAAAGAATACTAGCCTGGTAGCATCCCACATAGAGAAGCAGGGCTGCAACAGCAACAAGAGGGAGTCCTCCAAGAAATTTGTAATAAGCAGCAAGTAGAAACAAGGAAAGGGCCTGCAGCGTGAAGTTAAATAAAGAAAACCAAATAAAACCATTTTTAATAATGTTAACCCACTAACATCAGGCATAAGATCAAAACAGAAATGAAGAGGATAGTATGCATACAATCCCACTGACACCTCCAATCAGCAGAGGTCTTCTCCCAAGGTTATCAACTTTTGCAACATCTATCCATGTCATCAGCAACTGCAGGATTAAAAACAGTTAACCAATGCCAGAAGAAAGAGGAGAGCACAACAAGCAATCAGTTCTGGTAAGGCATACCTTGAACAAACCAATTATTATAGAAACTCAGGTAGCATCAGCAGCTGCAGAGAACCCAACACTCTTACCAAACAATAATACATCAAGTCACTAAATGGTTAGTATAATGGATTGGAAATTAGTAAATTACACAAGATTTTCATTTTTTAGAAGACAAAAAATAAATAAATTGACTATCATGCATCAGGTACCTGTAGAATAGGACCTGCATAGTACAGGACACTTGG